TCTTCCCCCCCCTCCTCATACCTTGTCATTCAACCACCATTCACATCACCATACACCGCCTGCTTCTCGATGTGTGCGCGTGTGTGCCTGTGTGCTCGTGTGGTCGCGTGTGTGTGTGTGTGTGTGTGTCTGTGTGTCGATGTGTCTGTGTCTGTGTCTGCGTCTGTATGTGTGTCTGTGTCTGCGTCTGTGACTGTGATTGTGTCTGTGCCTGTGACTGTGTCTGTGCCTGTGTCTGTGCCTGTATCTGTGCATGTGTCCGTGTCAGTGTTTGTGCCTGTGCCTGTGCCTGTATCTGTGTATGTGTCTGTGTCAGTGTCTGTGTCTGTGTCTGTGCCTGTATCTGTGTATGTGTCTGTGTCGGTGTCTGTGCCTGTGCCTGTGTATGTTTGTGTCTGTGTCGGGTCTGTGTCTGCGTTTGTGTCTGTGCCTGTGCCTGTGTCTATGTCTGTCTGTGTTTGCGTCTATGTCTGTGTCTGTGTCCGTGTCTTGTCTGTGTCGGTGTCGGTGTCGGTGTCGGTTTCTGTGTGTCTGTGTCTGTGTCAGTGTCGGTGTCGGTGCCTGTGGCTGCTTCTGTGTCTGTGTCTGTGTTTGTGTGTGTGTGTGTCTGCGCTTCTGTGTGTCTGTGTATATGTGTGTCTGTGTCTGTGTGACTGTGTGTCAGTGTGTTTGTGTGTTTGAGTATGTGTGTCTGTGTGTCTGTGTGTGGTTGTGCCTGTGTGTTTGTGATTGTGTTTGTGTTTGTGGTTGTGGTTGTGGCTGTGTGTGTTTGTAGTTGCGTTTGTGCTTGAATTTGTGTTTGTGATTGTATGTGTGTGTTTGTGTTTGTGTTTGTGTTCTTGTTTGCTTTTTTGTGTATGTAGGTGTTGTGGTTGTGGTTGTGTCTTTTGTTGGTGTTTGCGCTTGTGATTGTGATTGTGCTTATGTGTGTATGTTGAGTGTGTGCTTGTGCGTGTGAATGTGTGTGTGGTTTTTGGGCCAGTTAGAAGAGCGGTCAGCCGACGCCGGAAGGCAAATTGACTGTCCTCCGCGAGACGAGTCGACACCACGTGGGCGCCTGAAGCACTTAGGCCCGACAGCCAAAAAGCAGGACCACGGGGGCCCTCATTCTGAGACCATTCCCAAGGCAAGCACGGCACTTCCGCCGCCACTCCGGGCGACCCAAAAGGGCCCACCAAGGCGCGCAGGCCCAGGCATCAGCACGGTACCACGGGGGTCAGGCAGGCTAGCCCGGGCACTTCGGCTCAAGAGCCACGAGAACGCACAGCACGGCCACCCGCCCGATCCCCTCACGATCAAGCCACCGATGGCCCTGCACCACGGCACCCCTGCTTCCGCTCGGCGGCAGAGCTCCCATCGCGATCCCCCGCACGATCGTGGCCGCGGGAAAGCACGCCCACCCGGCGGGCAAAACAAGGAATCGACTCATCTAGCTCCTCAGGGGGCGGCGGGCGCGAACCCTCCAGCGCCGTCCTGAGAGTAGCAGCCGTCGGAGCACCAGTCAATCAGCGTCGCCGCCCTCGACCAGTCTTCCGGGCCTTGGGGGCTACGGCAGCGGGCGCGGCCGGGGACGCCAGGGCGGCGCTGAGCTCCGCATGGCGCGCCGCCATGGCCGCCAGCTGCACGCCAAGCTGCGCCTGCTCCTGGGGCTGCTCCGCCGCCCGTTGGACCAGGGCGGACTCCTGCACCAGCAGGGCGTCGCGATGCACCTCGTCGAAGGCCGACGGAGGATGGCCATGAAGCGGTCGATGTCATTCGCCGCCTGCGCTGCCAAGACCCCGATCAGCTCACAGAGCCAGCCGTCGGCGTGCGGCGACCAGCACTCCTGGTGCTACTCATCGATCGTATCGTGCGCGTCCGCCTTCATGACATTACCCTCCTCGCCGCCCTCCCTCGTCGGCACGGCGTGCGGGGCGTCGAGCGGGTCGTGGGGCGCACAGAGTTGGGCGTCGAGCTGGACGCCCGCGTGCACCACAGCGCACGGCAATTCGTTCAGCGGCGCACCAGCGGCCTCGCCACCAAGGTACCCTCGAAGCTCCTGGACGTCGGAGGCGAGAGCCGAGGAATTCCTTGCCGTCCTCGTCGTCCACGATGTCGGCCCAAGCCTTGGCCCCTCCTATCGCTCGCAACCACCCCCACGAGCGGATCCTCGAAGGTGCTCTGCACGTCTGGCTGGGCATCAAGCGGGGCGTCCTGGGCAGGGTTGGGGTCGACCGCGCCACGCTGGGAGCTCAGCGACTGGGCCGTGCACTCGAGCACCTACTCCGGGGCGGCTGCGAGCGCAACTGCACAAGCAGGGTCACGGCCGGCAGGGCCGTGCCCCCGACCTCCAGCACCGAGACGACGACCCCGTCGTAGCGCACCCTGCATGCGGCGGCCTCCACCACGTCCGTCGCCCTGGCACGGCGGCGGCGCGATCGGGATCCCGCGCTCGGCCGCGGCGGCAGTGGCCACGACGGAAGCCCGGCCAACGACTGCTGCTCCATCTCCGCGTCGGTCAGGGTGTCGGCAGCAGCAGGGGCGCCGTCCGCGAGCCAGCTCCCGCACGAGCGCCTGCTTCGCCTGGAGCCGCTGCGGCGCGTCCCTCACGGGGATCGCAACCCCCTACTCTGAGCTAGGCGTGCCGCATGGCACCACTACGGCCAGGCTCGCGTCCGCCGGCTCGGGCTCCGCGGCCGGGGAGCTCCCGCCCCCGGCGCCCGACGCGTCCCCGATGAAGCACTCGGGACGCTTGCTGCTCACGCCCGCGAGCAGGGGAAGGGCGGGATCGGGCCCATCACCTCCACGAGCCCCAGCTTCCCCTCTTGAGCCTCCATGCCCACGCCGCGGGAGGAGGAGGGGAGGGAGGGAGGCTCCACCACGTCCCCCTCGGTAATTACCGGAAGACGCCTCCAGCGGCCGACCGAGCGCCAGCAACCGCACCAGCTCGCCGAGGACCCGCTCCACGGTCAGCTGCACCAGCTGCGACGCGCTCGCGCCAGGGTCAGGGCACGCCAGGCCCCAGAGGCTGTCGCGGACCATGGCACGTCCCTGGCCGTCTCGAGCGCCGCGTGCGCCCCCGCCATCGTGCCGTGGCGGCTCCGGCCTCCCCCCGCGCCCCAGGCGGCGGGCTGCGGCGGGCACGGCCGCAGGCGCGACGCCATGGAGGCGCTGCGCCGCCGTCCCGCCGCTGTGGGGCCACTCACCCACCGCGGGACATGGGTTGCGGATGCCACGACAATGGACACCCTAACAGTCCGATCATTGAATGTAAAGTGTTTTTTCAATGTGGGAAAAATGTTCTAAACATGTTGTAACCATGTTCTTCACATGTTTAAACCATGTCTAGCACATGTTGTAGACATCTGGAAATGATTTGGCAACATGCTCCCTCTCCATTCATCGTCCTCCACAAGGCATGGTGGCCTCCTGCAGGGCGAGCTCCGCCTTGACCGCGGGCAGCCGGGCGGCGAGCCCAGGTCCGAGCGGCCCGTCTCTGGCCGGCAGGCCAGCCTGGGCCGCTCGGCAGGCGCCCGCTGCCGCCACGCGCGGCGCAGCGGAACGGGGCCCGCCAGCGCCGCGGGCCGAGGCCGCAACGGCACGGCAGGCTCCCGGCCACAGCGCGTAGCCACCATCGCCTGCGCCACGAAGGAGGGGGAAAGGGGCCGAAGCCGCTCTCGAGCGCAGCGGCAGCAGGAGAGACACACGGCGCGCACCTCGCCCGCTCGGGCACCAAGGCAGGCTTGAGCCCAACTGGATTCGTGTGTGTGTGTGTGTGTCTGTGTCTGTGTGTGTGTGCGTGTGTGTGTGTGTGTGTGTGCGTGTGTGTGTGTGTGTGTTTGTGCGTGTGCGCGTGCGTGTGCGTGTGCGTGTGCGTGTGCGTGTGCGTGTGCGTGTGCGTGCGCGTGCGCGTGTGCGTGTGCGTGTGCGTGTGCGTGTGCGTGTGCGTGTGCGTGTGCGTGTGGGTGTGTGTGTGTGCGTGTGCGTGCGTGTGTGTGTGTGTGTGTGTGTGTGTGTGTGTGTGTGTGTGTGCGTGTGCTCGTACTGTCTCCGCCTCGTCGCCGCGCGCGAGGCCGCTCCCGCCAACACTGTGTGTGTTTGTGTGTGCGCGCAGGTGTGTGTGTGTGTGCGTGTGCGCGTGTATGTGTGTGCGTGTGCGTGTATGTGTACGTGTGCGTGTGTATGTACGTGTGTGCGTATAAGTGTAAGAATGTATGTGCACGTGTGTGCAAATGAGTGTAAGTGTGCGTGAGTGTGTGTGTGTACGTGTCTGTGTGAGTGTGTGTAAGTGAAGTGTGTGCGTGTGTGTGTGTGTGTGTGATCGTACGTGTCTTTGCTTTGCGACCGCCCAAAAGTATGTGTGTGTGTGCATGTGTGTGCTTGCGAGTGCGGGAAAGTTGTCATGTGATTGTGTGTGTCTTGGTGAGCGTTGGTGTGGGATCGGGCCACCTTGGGCCCAAATATACCCATATCCACTGCGCCTAGAGGGGGGGGCATCGGTTCCCCAGGCAGTGGCATGTAAAATTCCAGTCGCAGAAGAACAGGGGAATCCACATGGGCGGAACAAACTTCTAGACGTCTGATTCAGATAAGGGGAGTGGGAAGCCGAAGGAACAGGAGGATTGAACAATCTGGGCGAAGTGGAGAAGGGATGCCTTGGGGAGGGTCAAGAGACTGAGGACGCAGACGAAAAGGAGAGGAAGCAGAAGGCCAAGGATGAGGGGAAGGCCAATCGCGTCCAAGGAGGGTGAGGAGGAGGGAACGGTGGAGATAGGGAGGCCAAGCGGCTAAGGGAGATCGGTTGGGATTCCCCGTGGGAGAGAAAACCATTCTCCCAAGGGCCCACCTCCTGTGGACACAACGAGCACGCCGCGAACTGGTCTATTAGATTACCTGCTGCAGTGCGTCAACGCCAAGGCGAACATGAGACCATCTAATAGATCATTGAACCAAGAACCTGAGTAAACAGAGGTTTGTGCAGTCACTGGGCGCGGGATGGACGGTCAGGAGGCATCGCCAGCCTTATCTTGCTCAGTTCGCAGAGGAGCATCATTAGGTGCGTTTCCTCGGTCACGCCGATGTCCTCGCGGGAATGCTCTGGGCAGCTTGATCGGCACTTGCTCTCCTCCTCCTCCTCCTCCTCCTCCTCCTCCTCCTCGTCCTCCTCCTTCATGTGCCAAATTTTGCCCCCGACATTCGAGAATCTAGGAGGGAGGTGTTTGGACGTGTGTGGGATGCGTTTGTTGGTTATGCGGTTTGGGGCATGATTCTGGCATCTGGACGCTACCCTCCAGAGGCATCCAGGGACCTCTGGGGCCAAGATCTGGGGCGGGAGCAAAAAGCTATTACCACCTCCTGGACATGTTTGGACATCGCTCTTGTTTGCAAGAGGGAAGAGGAAGAGGAGGACAACAGTACAAAGCTTATGGGAAGGAGGAGAAGCACCATAGGGTATTCAAGGGCTTCTGTTCCATCATCTGACGTATGCACCGCTGGAGTCTTCTCAAGCAAAGCAGGAAAGTGAAAATAAGAGGTCGGGGTGCGAAAGAGGAATACTGCCGGTGAAAGCAGGGAGGCGGTTGAGATGGACGGCCGTCTACGAAGGCAGGTCTTCTCAGAAAGACTCGGCGACTCAAAAGGCGAGAGCCCCCCCCCTCCGCCCAAGCCCCTCCTGCGTGCATCGGAGATGAGGATGGGGAGGAGGAGGAGGAGGAGGAGGAGGAGGAGGAGGAGGAGGAGGAGGAGGAGGAGGAGCTCACGACGCGCAAGCTCAGCCTTCGCCGAGCTCATCCGAAGTGGTGCTTCTCCAGCCTTTCCGCGGCCCGCATGCTTTCCAGGTCGCCGAGCCAAGGGGGACCGCGCGCGAGCGCCTTCTGTTCGCTAGGTGGGACCACGTGCCAATCCCGATATCAAAGTGTGCCGCAAGTGATTATCATGTTGTGGGAGGGGGGGGGGAAAGGGCGGGGCCCGCTGACTCGTGCGACCTGGCCAGCTTGACTCATCCTCCCTCCTACCCCCCCTCCTCTCGCTCCTCCTCAGCGTTCCTCCTCCTTCTGCTTATCCTCCTCCGCCTCCTCCTCCTCCTCTCCTGCCCCCCTCCGTTCACTTCTCGCCTAGATCCTAAGTGAGTTGTCCTCCTAATCCACCTCCTCCTCCTCCCCCTCCTCCTCTCCTTCTCCTCCTCCCCCTCCTCTGCGTAATCCGGTGCTTCCCTGCGGCCCTCGCGCTTCGGTCGCATCAGGAAGAAGGAGGAGACGTTAGAGGGAGATGGGAACGGCAGGGCAGAGGTGGGCTGGTGCTGACAGACGTCCTCTCCGGGGCACGCTAACCAGAGGACAGGGGCGGAGATGCCGAGGGACGGTGGGGGAGGATGGAAAATTAGAGGCGCTGACGCCGGGTTCCTGAAATCTACTCACAGAGACACCTAGCCTGAATAGGCCCAGCACGGCTCGCAGAACTGCTACGTCACAAGCCGCACCGTGTCTTGTGGCAACGTGCGCATCAACGGTACGGAAGGTTGCATGGTACGACCATGTGACTCTACAATCTGGATTCGTTGCGAACTCGTATGGTACTTGCCCGCACGCGTGAACCAATCACCTTGAGCAATCCGCAGCTTCATGAACGAGGAGGAAACAAACAGGTGATCCAAAACATTATCCAGACATCGGGCGAACACCAGCGAAATAGAACCACGTGCTTAAACTAATCACCCTGCACTACCACTGCCACTATATGAAACTATCTGAGTCCGATGGGGGCTGGCGATCATTCAAGGCACCGTCAACTGATGACCCTAAGGAAGACGCCAAAGTCTTGCAGACAGTGCCCGTGCGTCCAGAAACCTCTCGGCGTCTGTCTGTTTCGGCTCACAACAACAACAATCCTAGGACCACGCGCAACAGAAATTCCATCTCCCAAGGCCCACGGGGCATGCAGAAGCGATGCAATACAAGCATACGCTGTCCCTGGTCAATATTTCCGACAGCTTCTTCTCATCAACCTTCTGGAGCAACGTCCCGTTGATCCCCAACTCGCGCAATCGTTTCGCGTAAGGCTCGTACACGGTGCCCATGTCCTCCACAGCCTGACCAGCATTGCCAGCAACGCATGGGGGCCACTCGTATGAAGATGCACCCTCTGCCATTGCAGCTGTTCGGGGGGTCGGCTGCACGCAAGAGTGACCCTGGGTAAGAGTGACCTTTGGTGCGCGGCTCTTTGGGACGGCGGGGGGTCACAAAAAACAAGCGCGCCAGCCGCTGCTACTGACTACCTACCAGACCACCCCAACCCAACCCGAAGTCCCGATTTTCGGGTTGGGGGGGGTAAGGGTTCCACGCGTGATTTTTCGAGGTTTCCCGACCCCCCCCCACTAGAAATCGAGGTAAATCTGAACCTTCGGGTTGGGTTGGGGTGGTTTGGTGGGTGGTGAGCTACCGCTTCTCTTTCAGCCATCTGGGGGCCCACCCGTGCCCGCACCAACGGTCACTCCAGCGAAAGGTCACTCTCACGCCTAGTCGAGGCAGTCCTGCGTCCCAGACGCCTGCAGAGCAACCCTGAGAAGGCGCACCCCCCCTGCAGGGCTCCCGCGCACGAGCTCCGCGACACCCGCGGGGCCGGTGCGCCTGCGGCTTCCGCCGGCAAAGATCCTACGTGCTCCGTTGTCGTGACGAGCCGGCCAAGCCCAGGCTCGTGGATGCCGTGACAATGGACACTCTAACAGTCCTATCATTGAAGTATACAGATGTGTTAAGCATGTGTAATGCATGTTCTGACATGTTTCAGTCATGTTCTTTTACGTATTCAGAACATGTTTGAACCATCTCTTAGAGATCTGGAAATTACTTGGCAGCACGCCTCCTCTCCATCATAATCAACTTCCACAAGCCTGGGCAGACGGGGGGGGGCACCTTTCCTTTCGCTGCGATCCTGACGCCAGAAGCGGACCACCCCCGTCCTGCCTGCTGCATCGATGCACTCCGCCCATCCACGCGCAGATCGACCTCGACCTCTCTTGCGGAGCCCCGCTCGCACCTGTCACCCCCGCTCGTCTTCCCCCTTCCCGTGGCACGGTGCTGTCACGCGGGGGGTCGAGCGTCAAAGCTGCAAATATACCATGGAATGCAGCCTACGTCGGCCGTGAATATGGAGGGCCCGAAGCATCGCCAACAAACACATACTGACTACCTACCAGACCACCCCAACCCAACCCGAAGACCCGAATTTCGGGTTGGGGGGGGGTACGGGCTTCATGTATGTTTCCTCGACGTTCCCCGACCCCCCCCCAACTGGAAATGGAGGGCAAATTCGGGCCTTCGGGTTGGGTTGGGGTGGTTTGGAGGGTGGTGACATACGATGTGACACGTTGCTGCAATACCAAAGCTTCAACGGCCGCCCCATCTCGGGAATCCGCTCTCCGCGCAATCCGCGCGGCAGATGACGTGCCGCGGCGGCCTCCATTTGCGCTAGCTGGTCCTGGGCTCTTGCAGAACAGCCCAACATGGCTTCAAGAGGCACCCCACGGCCCCTAGGACGCCCCGGACAAACCCCAAGAGGCCCCAAGAGGCTCCACTACAACCCCAAAACACTCTCTGGGAGGCCATCTAGAGACACATGGATCGCCCTTTGGTGTTTCAACACGTTTCGCTTTACATGCTCGTCAGTCGAAATTCCGTCCATTTGCGCCCTTTGAACTCTCAAAAAGGGAATGCCCCAAGAGAATCCCTTGCGGCCCAGGAGGTCACAAGAGAGCTCCGTGCTAGCACAAGAGGTCCTCCAGACGGACCCAAGACGGCCTCAGACTGCCCCAACACGGCTCCGTGCTAGCACAAGAGATCCTCCAGACGGCCCAAGGCAGCCTAACGACGAAAACTCTCAGGCGCCCAAGATGGCACCCCAGCCTAAAAGAGGGCCCCAAGACGGCCCAAGAGGGCCCAAAGGGAGCCCCAAGACCAAGAGGCCCAACAAAAAATAAAAACCCTGGCGAAGGGCCGAACCATACGCAACTGTGATTACCGCGTTGTGGGTGCCGCTTTCGGTGCTCCCTACAGGGCCACGACCTTCGTGAGCGGTGTTCCAGAATTGGCGCGGTGGTGCCATCCGAGCGCGGGCATTCAGCCCTCGGCGGAGCTCCATATGGGGCCACGATCTTCGTGAGAGGTTTGCCGATATGGGCGCGGTGGTGCCATGCGAACGCAAACGCTGCGGCCCTCGGTGGAGCTCCCTAGGGGGCCACGGCACGCGTGAGGGGTGTGCCGAAATGAGTGCGGTGGTGCCATGCGAGCGCAGACACTGGGGCCCTCGGTGGAGTTCCCCATAAGGCCACGATCCTTGTGATGGGGTGTGCCGGCATGGGCGCGGTGGTGCCATGCCAGCGCTGACATTTGCGCCTAGCGCCTACGGTGAAGCTGCCTGTGGGGCCTTCGGTGGAGCTCCCTGTGGGGCCACGATCCTCGTCAGGGGTGTGCCGAAATGGGCGCGGTGGTGCCACAAGAACGCTTGCACTTTGGCCTTCGGAGATGCTCCGTGGGGGCCACGAAACGTGTGAGGGGTGTGCCGAAATGGGTTCGGTGTTGCCATACGAGCGCTGGCATCCTGACCCTCGGTGGAGCTCCCCATGGGGCCACGAAAAGTGTGACGGATGTGCCATGAGAGCGTTGGCATTTGGGCCTACGGTGGAGCTCCCTATGGGGCCACGAAGCGACTGAGGGGTACGCCTAAACCGACATGCGGAGGGGAGAGGCAGGGATGATGAGGATGGGAGGAGGGAGGAGGAGGAGGAGGAGGAGGAGGAGGAAGAGAAAGAGGAGGAGGAGGAGGAGGAGGAGGAGGAAGGAAGGAAGGAAGGAAGGAAGGAAGGAAGGAAGGAAGGAGCTCGGAGCGCTGTCTCTTCAAAACGATGACCCAACACCGCAGGACGGTTGGGAATTATCCTGGCGAGTGACCCAACTTGACCCAACCATATGTAGTTGTTAGTAGCGCAATTGTGAATAGCGTTCTCGGTGACCACGAACCGCGCGAAAGGGGGGGCCGAAATGGACATGCGGCGGCCAG